CGAAGTGAACCCCACCCTCCCCCTCGGAAAGCGTGGGGGGTAGGGGTCGGGTTCACATGCGGCCCCCCAATCGCAGGAATATAGCGCACACCCTCGAACTGCTTCAGGATCTTGGAGATCTCGCGTTGCCTGCGCGCGCGTTCATGCTTCCGGATTTCTCTCTGCAGCTCCGTGCTGATGACTTTGAACGGTCTGTGGTTGCCCCCGGCATGCCCGCTTCTCGCTGCTCGTCTCTCTGCAATGAGATTTCGGATTTTGGCGTTCTGGCTCGGCTTACTCTGCTGGCCCTGGCGGCGTGCACAGTCAGAGTGGTTCGGTAAAGATTGCACAAAAACTTGTTCGATATCGTCGCAATGCTGTTGCGGAGCACGAACGCCGGCAGGCCGCTCCCGGACGCGACCACAAAGAGCCTCGTCAACCTTCTCCGAGAACAGGTTGCACGAAACAGGCAGCCATTTTCCTCTCTCTGGCGGTCGTTCCCTCGCAGCTCTCGCAGTGCAGATCTGGAGCTTGAGAGACACGCACCTGTGGTCCACTCCGACACCGATGCTGTTCGACGCCTCGGTGTCCATGGCCATGCCGAGGGCGCCTGCTGTCATGCAAAAGTAATCGATTTGACGGCGGCATCGAAATTGTAAGTGTGTCCACTGCTTCTCAAACGGTTTGTTGAAAAATGTACATACCACTGCCATATTTTCAGAACGAGCCCAAGAAGCCATCCACTCTCCTCTCGGATTTTGTCTTCCCAACCCGTACTTCCCCACGTATGCGCTTACAGTTCCCCACACAGGTCAACTCGCCCGGGCGTCGTGTCTGAATCGGCTGGCGGGAATAAGCGAAGCGTTATGAATTGCCGAGAGGCACAATGAAGGAACGGGATGTGTTTAAAATGCGACTCTCGCCCTAGCTCCGCACATGTTCGTCTTTCGACAGATATAAGGGCGAGTCGTTTTCCTGAGTGTGGCCCTCACACTAACAACGTGCGCAGTTGTCTCCAACATTACGAGCAGAGTTGCAGGGGCTGGGAGCAACTCTTTTGTTTCGTGTGGTGAACTCCCTAGCGCCGCGCGCATCCGTCTACGGAGGTGGGGAGCGCTTCGCCCCAGCAACAAAAAAACACTTCGCGGTGCGAGAACCAGGATGCAAGCTGCTCGCTGCAGTTCCTCCCAACTGACTCGCGATCGGGGGCGCAGAACAGATACTGTGGAACATCGAGGTTGAGGTTCAAGAATAAGCGCGGCACGGCGGATGCGTTTTTTCTCGCCAGTCACTTTAACGCGGGCAAAAAGACGGGCGACTGGTGCTCCTCGCCCTTGACTGGGCAACAGCATCAGATAGTGTTTCACCAGATGCGTCACGCCGCACCCTGCAGCGATTCGGCATCCCGTCGGATTTCATCAGCACTGCGCGAAACAAGGACCGCACGTTCGAGGTCCGAGGCGCCGGGTCGGCATCCAATCCTTACCCAAAGGGCTTCGGCATCAGAGCCGAGCGTACCCACATTTCTCGTTGCCATTGTTGAAGGGGCCCTGGGACACACAAACAAATACACACAAATAACCAGATTCCCTATATTTTCCTATATTTTCTGGGTTTTTGTCTTCCCCCCCACTTCCCATATTTTCCCATATTTTCCTGGGAGTCGACGATTAATTGTGTCTGTAAGTTTTTTCCCCTCCTGAATTGTAATGGCGGCTCTTCTCCACGACGCGAAGCCGGAGGCGGCGCGCCCGACCCCTGGATCTGATGCAGCAGGTGCACGGGCTGCTGTACGCAGACGACACGCTGCTCGTGGCCACCACGGGCGAGGAGGCCTCCGGGTGCATGCACTGCGTGCAGCGAGCCGGACATCAACATTTGGGAGTCCCGAAACGGTGCGGTGACGGACCGTGCGGTGACCTCGAAATCCCCCAAGACCTCACCGCACGGTCCGTCACCGCACGGTCTTGGGACCCCGGAGGCCCCTGTCGCCCGAGACGTCCTCGGAGAGGGACTCGAGTCCCAAAACCGTGCGGTGACCCCAAATCCCCACCGACTCACCGCACGGTGTGGTCACCACCCCGTTTAGGGGCCCACGAAACATGGCCTCCAATTCCATGGGCGAAAGCCGGAAGTTCTGTCGGCGGGGTGCGACTAGGGGAGCCAAAAACTGCATAAATGAGAAAACTCTGAGGTCCGAGCGGATTTCTTGGATCCGCGCTGGACCCCCATCCCTGGCGCGCTCCGCGCGCCAGGGGGGGCGCCAGAGGCGCCGCCAGGGGTCCAGCGAAATCCGCGCGGACCTCCGAGTGTGCATTTCTATATCATTGTTCGTTTCCCTAGCGACAGGCGTATCCCAAAGCCGCGTCGGACAAAATGCGAGGAAACTGCGGATGTTTGACGCGCGCGTGGTAAGCAAACTGCTGACTTGCCTTCGCACGCAATTCTTGAGCAAACAAGGGCTTCGCAGATGGACGCCTTCCCCTCAAAAAACCATACGCACGCCACACCCGTACACGAGCAGAGTGTCCGATGAGTGCGTCCCAGAGCGCGCTGGATCCAAGCCGCGGAGCAGCGCTCTACTCTGCAGGGCCAGCTGCTCTTCCTGCGGCACGTGGCCCGGAAACCAAGCGACAACCCCGAGAGAGGCGGACGGTGCTCTCCGGCTTGTCTCGTGCGAGCTGGCGCTGCCCGGCCTCAAGAGGAAGAGGGGGCGACCGAGAAAGAGATGTCGGCTGCATTTTTGCGTCGGCGGCTTGGCAGAGGGACTGCTCCGGCGGTGCGACATTAGTGGGGCACACAAAACGCGAATTAAGTCGCGGGCACGCGGGAAGAGAGAGAAGGCCCAGCGCGGCCGGGAGGAAGCCAGGCCCGACATGTCGGCTACACGAAAGGAGTGACCCTAAGGCAAGAGTGACCTTTCGTGCTCGGCTTAACAGGGGGTGCGGGGTGGCCAAACCAAACCCAAGCGCGCACGCCGGTGCTACCGCTTCGCGTTCAGCGATCGGGGGACCCCGTTGTGATCAACAACAAAGGACCCCTAACCCTTTGGGAGGGGACTTAAGTTAGGAGGGCCGAACACATCAAGGATAGGGGTCCTGTTTTTTCTTCTGCAGATGTATTGAACAAGACCGCCCAGAGCTATTAGCCCTGATGCAGAGATGGGGACCTCAGTGAGGTCACGTCTTCACTTTGCTATAAAGGTTAGGGCTGTTTTATTCTCGATGACATTTGGCCTGCACCAGAGGCCACTCCTGCGAAAACTCACTCTTGCGTCTAATCGAGCATGGCGCCGTGAGACTCATGCGCACGCCGCCTGGGCAGCGGGGGGCGAGGAGGCCCTTGCGCATCCTTGGCAATATTCCGTAAATTTCACCGCAGCCAGGCACGCGTCCGCCACGCGGCACTACGACGCACTCTTTTGCACTCCGCTGATTTCTCTCTTGTTCTTGGCAGTATTATATGATTAGCAGTGGCATCAAAATAAATTTCTAAGATCCCAATTAACATTACTAGCAGTAGTAGTAGCAGGGATAGTAATAGTAGTAGTAGTAGTAGTAGTAGTAGTGGTAGTAGTAGTAGTAAAAGAAGAAGAAGTAGTAGTAGTAGTAGTAGTAATAATAGTAGTCTGTTAATACTAGTAATAATAATAAATATAGTAGTCGTAGTAAGAGTATTAGTCGTAAAAGTAGTAGTAGTAGTAGTAGTAGTAGTAATAGTAGTAGTAGTAGGAGTAGTAGTAGAGATAGTCGTACTATGAGTACTAGTAGTAATACTAGTAGTAGTAGTAGTAGTAGTAGTAGTAGTAGTAGTAGTCGTAGTAGTAGTAGTAGTAGTCGTCGTCGTAGATATAGTAGTAGTAGTAATAGTAGTAGTAGTAGTAGTCGTCGTAATAGTAGTAGTAGTAGTAGTAGTAGTAGTCGTAGTAGTAGTAGTAGTAGTAGTAGTAGTAATAGTAGTAGTAGTAGTGGTAGTAGTAGTAAGTAGTAGTAGTAGTAGTAGTAGTAGTAGTAGTGGTAGTAGTAGTAGTAGTAGTAGTAGTAGTACGAGTAGTAGTAGTAGTAGTAGTAGTGGTAGTAGTAGTAGTAGCAGCAGTAGTAGCACTAGTAGCAGTCGTAGTGGTAGTAGCAGTAGTAGAAGTAGTAGTAGTAGTAGTAGTAGTAGTAGTAGTAGCAGTAGTAGCTGCAGCAGTCAAAGTAGTAGTAGTAGTCGTCGTCGTAGTAGTAGTAGTAGTAATAGTAGTAGCAGTATCAATAGTAGTAGTAGTAGTAGTAGTAGCACTAGTACTAGTACTAGTACTAATACTAGTAGTAGTAGTAGTAGTAGTAGGAGTAGTAGTAGTAGTCGTAGTAGTAGTAGTAGCAGCAGTAGTAGTAGTGATAGTAGTAGTTATAAAAAGTACGAGAACTAATCGCAGTGTTAGTATCATCGCTCGTATAATTAGCCGTGCTATAGTATAAATATGATTCGGATTTGTCGAGGTAGTAAAAGCAATCGTAATATAGCTATTAGTCATGCTCGTAGGGTAATGCTCTGGTTTCACGCTTGTGCACCAGCTACACGGATGGAAGGCGGCTTATCTTCATGCACGGCCATACCTGCATTACGGCTAGAAGGATGCACTGTGGATCCTGTTCAAAACGGGGGCAGCCAAAATGCAGGCGCAATCTGCGTTCGTCTCTCAAGGAGGCGCTTCCCGCGGAGACGAGGAATGTTTGCAAAGAGTTTGGGAGGGGTAAGGCCCCTAGCGTAGGGGGCTCGGGACAGGGACAGTACATCTTGCAGCACCGCTGAGACGGCCTGGGTTCACTCTGGCCATCCTCCTGCAACCACTAGACTAGAGAGCAAAAAATCCACCCTCATGACAAGCACCCCAACAAACGAAGCCGTTTAGCAAACGCACCCAAGGAAGGAATCGCAGAGGGCAGGGCTGTTGAGTAAACACCCAGGGCCGCTTAGTAAACGCCAATTGTCGGGGTCGGGGTGGATTTGCCTACCTTGACGGAGGCTCGGCAGCGCGCCTGGGGTGTGGATCGGGCTGGACGCTGAGGATCTTCAGCAGGTCCACCTCTCGCAGCCGCCCGGCGCGCGCCGCGCGAGGACGCGTCGCGCAAACGACGACGACGTCAACGTCGACGGAAGCGGCAAGGGCCACCGCAGCAGCGAGAGTAAGGCGGGCCCCCCGTCGTGCCCTGCCTGTCCTGCCCCAGCTCCCGAGACCCACGCCACGAGCGCACGTCGCAGCTTCTCGCATCTTCTCCCCCAGGCCCTTCCCCCTCCCCCTCCTCGATTCCCCTCCTCCATTCCTATTTTATCCTCTAGGACGCCCGACCGCAAGGGCCAGGAGGGCTGGCGAGGTCCGTGCGACCTCCTGCACCTCAAACCTTCGGGCGCTATCGTGATGTGGAATGGGTACCCCTACATAGTTCCTCTGAGGCACATCCGGCTCCACCAAGCCATCACGGCCATGGTCACCGAGCATCAGGACATGCCCGTCTCAGCCTTCACGACCATTCATGTGCTCGAAGATCACCGCGACTTCCTAGACATGATTGAGGGCCAGACTCCTTTCAAGGTCTACCTCTGCGGGACGATCATTGGCCAGGACGGCGTCAAGCTCTCCACGCCTCCCAGCCTGACTAGCTCACCGCCCCGAGTATGGACCTTGGCGAAGCAGTTCTGTGAAAAGGAATGGGGCTTCTCTATCGATGGGATCTGCTACGGCAGTTGCATCAAGAAGCTCTACCTCGTATCAGGCGCTCGATACGGACTACAGATCACATGGTCAATAGGCAATCGAAAGGAGCACACTATCAGAGACCTGGACCCCAGCAAGCATATCCTGGACATCAAAAAACAGATGCCCAAGACCGACGACGCCGACTTGACCACGGCACTCTTTTGCTCGTTCGAGCGATTCGAGGAACACGAGGACTTTGGCGACCTGTCCGACATCGACTTCCACCCTGACGACGACGACGACGAAGGACCAAGATTACCACCAAATGACGACAGATTTCCACCCGATTATCCTCGACAGCCTCCTCCCGAGGCACCTGCACTTCCTCAATTACCAGCGGCTCGAGCAACAGCGGGACGACCACCGCTGGATGGGCTGTCGCATCTACCAGCAGCACCACCGGGACCTCCTGCTCCACCTCCAGCGCCGACAGTGCCTGGGAACCAGATCAGACAGGAGCTCTCGGATACCATCATTTTGGACGATATCTCATCGATCGAGGCAGGACCTGATCAAGGCGGAGGACCATCACCACCAGGACTTCCACGAGCATCGACTATCAGGACGATCCCGATTGATACGCCCGCACGATCCGTTGTATCGCGGAGTTCATCATCATCACGGTCGGTTAGACGAGTGGTATTTGATGACGATAACGGCAGCTCTTCTCAGAATGTCGACGTCGACGACGAGAGCATGAATAACGGCAGGCAGGACGACTCGGAGATCATTGCGCCCACAGCTCCGGCGCGACCTCCTCAACCACCTGATTATCCTGGACAGGCTATACCAGCTGGTCCATCAGCTCCGGTAGCTGCACCGAAGACAACACGACATCGGGCGCCCTCAAGATGCGAAGCACGGATGCGAGAACCGAGGACACCGAGACGACCTACCAGAGCTGAGTCAGCACCACCCGACTGGAACAGACATCGGCGTTCAGCAGCAGCGCCCACTCCAGCGATGCCAACCTCGACACAACCTACAACGCCACAGGCACCGACTATCAAGCCATGCAATCCACAAACACCAGCACAAGCACCACAACCACCGACATCTCCACTTCTACCAATCGCTGAGCTACCTGACCCAACAACTACCTCTTCAGGCAGATCAGCACCGCAGACAATACCAACCACACCACCAGCACGACAGACAGCATCTACATCATCTGCTATCAACACTTCACCAGCCTCACCAGCACCGACGATTCAATATCCCGAGGAGCAACTATCACCAGCGGAGACCATCCGCTATCCTGACGGATAGTCGTCGCCACCGACGGTAGTCGACCAATCTGGGAGAGACTCAGAACCGCGCACTCCGATAGAATCAAGAGTGACGAAAATCAAGAACATACCATCAGGAACGAGCTCACCGGCAACCGAGATCAGGAAGACCGACGACCCGAACACTCCAGAGGCTCCAGCAGATCGACATGGTTCTCCAATATTGCCTACGAGAGCTTCTGGATCGGACCATGCAGACATCGCCGACAAGGTCAGCCACAAACGAGGAGATCATCCACCTATTATCAAGAATGCTATGGTATCTCCTCCTTTGCTCACAGACACCAAGCGCCCCAAGCTTCTGGAAGACTATCACGCCTTCCTCAACCAACAGGTCACCTTTGATGATGTCAGTTCGCACTACCTCTGTACCCAAGACCTGGAGGACGACGAGATAGATGAGCACCAGAACCTGATGATGAGCATGGCGAGCGACGTTTCGACCAGTCTTCACAAGATGGACCAACGAGCTCTACCATGGGAAGCTACCTTGGCACATTGGGTGGTACCTGGCCCGTTCCATGAGAACCGGTGCTTTTATTTCGACATGGCCACGGGTGAGGCGATCTTCGCCCAGAGCGATGATGTCTTGACGGAGCCCGAGAGATACCAACACTGGAGTCTCGTTGACAAAGCAGATCAACAAAGGGCTCGATCATTCATAGATAACCCATGCTTCCGTGCGGTACATGACAACAGTCTCGGCAGTGGCAACATCATAGATGCAGTATGGGTGCGGAGATGGAAGAATATCTACGATGATAACAGCCAGCTGTACTACGTGATCAAGTCAAGACTCTGTGGCCGTGGCTTCTTAGACTCTCAGAAGCATGATGCTATGCGCCAGAGCAGTACGGCATCACGACTGTCGCAGAGATGGTGGCCTCTCGTTTCAACATCGAGAAAGACATGGAGATGGAGTCCTGGGACATCTCTACGGCGTCCCTGCAGGGCTTGAAACATCAAGACCTCAAGCGCTGCGCAGCCCAACTTTGTATTGAGATCCGACAGAAACGGAAGGTCTACATGACACCTCCATCGAACGTCTGGCGCCACTTTCGGAACTATGACAAGTCCAAGATACAGATCAGCGACAGCGAGTCCCAATTCTTCGACGTATTCCTGCTGAAACCAATATAATACGAAATCCCTACATCTTTTATACATGATCCGCACGCGGAGCATGTATTAAAAATGGCACTGTATGGTACAGTGGACGCCCCATTCATATGGCAGTTGGCGCTCAGCATGCTCATCAAGAACGAACTCAAGGGGATCCAGGGCGTGTTCGACGAGAATTTCTTCATGGGGGTCGAGGGCGGCAAGGTCAGGATGATCCGGGCGGTGCACGTGGACGACATCATTGTTCTAGCGCTGAAAAACTGGATGCAGTGGGCACAGCAGAAGACGGAGAAGCGCTTCGGCAAGGTAAAAAGACACTCTCCTTTCCCACGCACATGGGAATGACATGTGATCTCCTTGGAACAAGGCACCTTCTGATTCATCAAGGTAAGTTTGCTGACGGCCTGAGCAAAGCAGTCACACCAAAGGAGAGGCAGTCAAGGACGAAGGATTCCCTGACGGCAAATGAAATTCATCAACTACGAAGCGGAATGTGTTCATTGTTGTGGTTATGCCAAACGCGAGAAGGCATCTACTGCGACACGGTCCAGCCTCAACAATATGTAAGAGACGCTAAGGTGGAGCACCTGATCCAGCTGAACGCTCTCATTGAACGAGCATATCGTAATCGCCATCCTGCAAGTCTTCACTTTCCCGAGCTGGAGCCTCCCTTTCGATTGGCATCTGTGGCGGACGCGAGTCATGGGAACTCCATCACATCATATCCTCAAGAAGGCAGTGCAGTACTACTGATATAGGACAAGATGGAGCGGATCAGGTACGACAATAAGGACAAAGCAGACATCCAGGACGAGCATGACTTCGGAGGACCTTGTCACAAGATGGTCATCCAGAGATGCAAGGCCTAAAGGATCAGCCACAGTACGTGCCACGCGGAGACCGATGCAGGATACAACGTGAACCAATACGCGCAGTTCATCAGTATGAGATATACGGAGCTCTTGAGGAGCACTCAGTACCAACACAAACCTCGAGATGCTCCAGGATACTTCGACTCAGGCGAGATGGACATCGCTACGGAACATTACACCGATTGCTTGGACTTCTGGAAACTGTGCTGCAGTATGAAAGGAGTGCCCAGCGACAAGAACAGTCGACTATCCATACTCTCGATACATGAGGAAACACTGACGGGCCGAATTCGGTACTTCATACACTGCCCGACTCACAACATTATATGCGATGCTCTTACCAAGACGGGCATTTTCCCTCAGATCATGCGATTGGTCAGCACAGGCATGCGGCACATCAACAGCACCAACGGCAAGCAATTCACGGCCAGGAAGGTGGATCACCAGAAATGCGAGTACACGGAGCATGATCTACTTCGGCTTGAGGCCTGACCCGGCCTGCCCGGCCGCCGGCTGCCCTCTTCCCCTTGCTCAGTTAAGATATCGTGCGAGCGTGAACGGATACATATGCATACCATACCGATTATTCCGACACTTTTTTTCAGACACTAGTTGGTGCTAGGAAATACTACTCCGAACTTTAGTAGGCCCCTGATTATATAGCCCAGAATTCTATCAGAGCATAATAATTCGGAAACACAAACCGGAACGAAGATTCAGGTTGAAAACAAGTAGGCTCAGAGATTGATGGGTATGCTGCCCGGCACCACCGACTGATCTCTGCTTCTCCTCCTCCCGCTCCCCCGCCATCCCCCCCCCCTCCCTCCCCTCTCCCCCCTCCCCCTCCTCCCCCTCCCTCATAGTCCCTTGTCCACCGCGAGGAGGGCGAGGAAGAGCGGGACGCGCCTCCAGTTCCGGCTTGCCGCCGCTGGCGAAGTCGCCCTGGTTCCTCCAGATGCCCAGCACGAACTTCTGCGGCGGCGTCGTCGTCCTCATCCTCCATGCCCTTTCCTTATGAAGAACTCCTCCCCGCAGCTCCCCCAGACATGTCGGTAGAGCGGGCCAGGCTGCCGCCTGAGACCTCCCCACCAGTCACGACCCTGAAGGTGGAAAATTGCAGCATCTTCCAGGATGGAGCACACGTCCTTGTCAAACTGCGTTTCTGGCCTCAGCGCCGCGCACCTTCGTCCTGGAAGTCTGCAACAGCTAGGGCAAGAGGAGGCTCTCGCCTTGACGCCGCGTTCACTCGTCTTGGAAGTCTCCAACCGAACCAAGGATGGAGGGCGGTTCCTTTTCTTCAAACTGGGGCCTTCGCCTTAGCGCCGCACACAGTCGTCGTGCAAGTTTGCAACAGCTGAAAGGACGGAAGGGGGGTCGTTCTCAACATGGGGCCTTCGCCTCGGCACCTCGCAAACTCGCTCTCAAAGCTTGCAACGATTGCACAGACGTAGGACGGCTCCTTTTTTCAATATGCAACGTTCGCATGTGATAGCCGCTCGGCTAGAGGGCGGCGTCTTTTCAGATCGGGGCCAACTCACTTAAGACGTCCTCGAAATCCATGACTGGCAGTATGATCCTGCGCACCAGTTGCACGAGTGGAGCGGCCCTGTCCTCAAAACGTGGATCTCGCCGGACACCGCGTTGCGCTGTATGACCTTTGTCCTGCACGTTCGGACCTAGGACAGAAGCACATCCTTCAAGAACATGAGAACCTCAACCGGCCAAAAAAAAACAAACCATAATATCACTCGAGGGTACCCTCCCCCAGAAAGCACAAGACCATCCAATAAACACGAAGCGCATTAGGGTACCCTCCCCGGACCGACCACGATCTTATACGTAGGTCCGACCGTATTCCTCACGAGTTCCTGAAAGGATACAAAGCATTTCCTGCTCAAAATGGGGCTCCTTCTTGAATGGCAGGTCCATGGGGTGATGTGCTTTCAAGGGGGCGCTCCATCTTAGAGAGGGATGCCTTGTAGGGATTTGCGAGGAGGGCTTTGGGACGGGAGGGTGTATTGTAGCATCGTTGGTGCATATTGAGTTTACTTTGATCCTCCTGACGCTCCTCCTCCTCCTCCTCCTCCTCCACCGCCTCCCTCCTCCCTCTTCATCCTCTTCATCCTCATCATTCTCCGCCTCCGCCGCCTCCATCCTCTTCCCTCCTCCTCCTCCCTCTTCCTCCTCGTCCGCCTCCACCTCATCATCACCGCCTTGCTCCTGCTTCCCGCTCTCCTCGTCTACGCATGCACCCTTCTCCTCCCCTCCCCCTTCCTCCAACTCCCTGCTCCTCCCCCCCTCCTCCCTGCTCTTCCTCCCTCGTCCGCCCTCCGCCCTCCCTGCCCTCATCTATAAAGGGAAATTAGGACACACAAATAAATACACACAAATAGAAATAGTCCCCATATTTTCCCATATTTTCTGGGTTTTTGTCTTCCCCCCCACTGCCCATATTTTCCCATATTTTCTGGGGAATCGAGGATTAATTGTGTCTGTGTGTTTCTTCCCCTCCTGAATCTAGAGGCAGCCTAGATGGGGCCCGAGTAGATGGCGTCGGAGCAGCGCGCCGCATCGCCGACACATCGCCGATGCATCGACGACGCATCGGCGATGCATCGGCGACGTCGGCGACAATTCCGCGACGTCGGCAGAAAGAAAATCGAGCTCCACATCGAGACGCACCGCCGATGCATCGGCGATGCGGCGCGATCCTCCGACCCCCACGTACTGGGACCCATCTGGGAGGCCCAGATCGTCCCCTCCTCCTCCTCCTCCTCCTCCTCCTCCTCCTCCTCCTCCTCCTCCTCCTCCTCCTCCCCGACTCCAGTCCGGCTGCCGCGGCGGCTAGCGAGGCCCTTCCGCAGGAGGCACCCTGGGCCCTGGCATGGTGCACACACCCTCCTTGCCGAGGCCGGGAGGATCTCTTTACACCGACTGAGGGGGCCCAAGGAGGTGGTCATGGCCGGGCCACGGCGGTGGTGAAGACGGTGCCTCCCACGGACAGCTGCAAGCGTAGAGGCCTCCAAGATAGGGTCCGCGTAGATGGGGTCGGAGGATCTCGCCGCATCGCCGATGCATCACCGAGAAACATCGCGACGATGCGATGTATCGACGATGCATTGGCGACGTCGACGATGCGTCAGCGATGCGTCGGCGACGTCGCCGTGGAGAAAATCGGACTACACATCGAGCCGCATCGCCGATGCATGGCGATGCGGAGCGATCCTCCGACCCCATCTACTCCGACCCCATCTAGGAGGCCTAGAAAGCGGGCGCGAGGTTCAGAAGGGCCAGCCCAACCCGAAGACCCACACTTCGGGTCAGGGGGGGATACGGGTTCCACATATATATATATATATATATATATAGATATATATATATATATATATATCGATGTTCCCCGACGGCCTCCCATCGGGAATGGAGGGCAAATTGGAGCATTCGGGTCGGGTTGGGGTCATTTGGTGGGTGATGACTGCCAGCTGACAGCGGGCGCGAGGATCAAGAGGACCAGAGTGTGGGACAGCAAGCGCGGGGTCGCGAACATCAGCTCGCGCAAACGGTCCTGTGGGCGCCGGGGGCGGCCACGTGTCTGCTCCGAGGCACGCGCCGGGCGGGGGGGGGCCCAAACCGGCTGCACGTCCCCCGCCCAACCCCCCCTTGCAGGAGAGCCCAGAAATCGGATCGACAAGTCGGCCCGGCGGTCGAAATGAGTCGGATCGGCGAGCAGCGGCAGCCGGGACTGGAGGAGTCGGATCGGCGCAGACCGGCGGGCCAGTGCGCCTCCACTGAGACGAGTCGGAATCCGAGTCCGAGTCAGAGATCGGATCGACTGGGAAGCGGAAGCCGTGGACATGGAACCGAGTCGGATCGGCGAAATCGAGACGAGCCCAGCCCTGCCCTGCCCTGCCCCCGCTGTGTTGGCCGCAGAGTGCAGGGAGAGGGGCAGCGGCGCCCCCGTTGCCCATGGCCTTCGTGTGCGGGGGCCCCTGCACGCCGACGTAGACCTGTGGGGGCACCCCCAGGCTCTGCCCCGCGCCCCCTCCGCCACTCCGAGCGCCGCACCGCCCCCCCCCCAAAATAGGCAGACAGACATACATTTATATAGATTGCGAAGGCCTTACGGCCGGTGCCGCCGACCCTGAGAACGACGAGGATGAAAACGAGGGGGGGGTAGGGGGAGGATGAGTGGGAGGTGGAGGAAGGGTGGAGGAGGTGGATGAGGGAGGAGGAGGGGGGAAAAGGATGTGGAGGAGAAGCAAGAGGATGAGAAGGAGGTAGAGGAAAGCAGGAGGGGGAGCAGGGGGGGGAGGAGGAGGAGGAGGAGGAGGAGGAGGAGGAGGAGGAGGAGGAGGAGAAGGAGGAGGAGGCCAGAGGCGTTCTTGGGACAGCCTGGGGCTCTCTTGAGGCCGTCTTGGGCCGTCCAGGGCTCCTTCTGCGCGGTCTCGAGGCACTCTTGGAGGCCTCCTGGGCAATTTGGGGCTCTCCTGGGCTGTCTTGGGGCAGTTTGGGGGCCTCTTGGAAGCCTCTTGGGGCCTCTTGGGGCTTCTTCGGGGCCTCTTGGGGGCCTCTTGGGGCTGAGAGCTCGACATGTACGTTCGGGTCCCCCGTCTGGGCACTCCTGGAGCCGTCTTGGGGGCCTCTTGGGCCGTTTTGGAAGCGTCTTGGGCCTCTTGGGGCCCTCTTCGGCCGTTGGGGAACCCCCCTCTTGGGGGGCTCTTGGACCGTCTCGGGGCGATCTTGGGGGCCTCTTGGGCCGTCTTGGCGCGTCGGGAAGCGGAAGAGGCAAGAACGTCACAAAATCTTCAAAAAAAGTACCCGAAATCCATGAATTTTGCCTCTTGGGGCTCTCGTGGGAAAGCTCCTGGAGGCCTCTTGGGGCGCTTTTCAGGCCTCTTGGGCCGTCTGGACAGATCCTTCGGCGAGTCGGGGTTCTCTTGGATTTTCTTTGGGCCTCTTGGGGCACTCTTGGCCCGTCTTGCGGCTTGTTGGGGCTCCGGGACTTCCAGGGGCGTCTAGACGCCCCTGGAAGTCAGCTGACCCCCCCCCCGGGACGCCCCCCCGGGACGCCCCCCCCCCGGCGGGGGAGGGATCGAAGGGAAGGGGCTTCCCTTCGACTCAATTATGACGTTGCTCAACTTTGCTTTGGCTGGAGGAGGTCCGTGGGAAAGGGGGGAGCCTCGACGAGCACAGGGAAAGGGGAGAGGCACGGAAAACAGACGACAGAGACGACAACCAACGAATGACGGAGATGACGACTTGAACGGACAAGCCCCTCACACACGCCGGCAGGGTCGGAGGATGTATATATATATATATATATATACATACATATATATACCATATCTATATAAAGAGAGAAAGAGAGAGAGAGAGAGAGAGAGAGAGACAGGCGGGCTGACGGACGCAGAGGCAGGTAGACAGGTAAGACACAGACAGTCGGACAGATGCGGATGAACAGAGAGAGAGAGAGAGATAGAGAGAGAGAGAGAGGTCGGCTCGGGAGGGCAGGACCGTCGATCTGCTGCCCCAGCTGCCGAACTTGTCCACTGGCCCCGCGCAGCCTGGCGGCGTCCACCCCCACCCGCCTGGCCCAGAGTGCAGACGGGAGGCTCGGGGCTCCTATCCTTCCTCCTCCTCCTCCTCCTCCTCCTCCTCCTCCTCCTCCTCCTCCTCCTCCTGGGGGGTGCAGGGGAACCTGGGCCAGCGTGGCGGGACACCTGCTGTGCATCTGCACTCGATCCTGGCCAGGCCGCTCCTGGACCCAGGCTCGGCGGTGCCTGCGCCCTCCTGGCTTGGCAAGGAGTGCGCATGCACCGACCCCAGGCCCAGGATTGGCCCGGCGCTGGTGCGAATGTAGTTTGAAGGGGCCCAGGAACACATAAATGAATGGACACACATCCCAGAATCCCCCATAGTTGACCATATGTCCTGGATGCTCGTCTCCCCCCCCCCCTTCCCATCCTTTCCCAGATGTTCCTGGGAATCGACGGTTATTGTGTCTGCGTGTTTGTTCCTCCTGAATAGTCGACGTCCCCCGAAAATGATGTCTGGGCAAGGGGAGGCGGTGGGGGTTGAGCTCGCCCGTCCGCTCTGATACGCCCACTCCCAGCCGTTGAGGGGTCGTAGCTGAGTCCACGGCCTCCTCTGTCCCAAATACGAGAACGGGATCTATTTTCCGTAGCACGTGGCAGCGGAACACGTAACACTTATACAAAAGAGTCTGTTTGACATGCCACACAACTACTTCGCAAGGCTACTGAGAGGACGTGGGAACGGAAAGGATGCCCTGAGGGACAGAGAGACACCGAGGCACCGACACCGCGACTCCCCAGACCTCTCCCAGGGTGCGTTCTGACCTGACCAGGACTCCGATGCGAGTCTGGCCGTGGGGTCAGGTAGAAGAAGAAAAAACTACAGAAACATAAACTTTTGGCGCTCCACGCGGATTTCTTGCATCTGCGCTGGGCCCCTCTGGAGGAGCGCGCCAGGGGCGACGCCGGAGGCGCAGCCAGGGGGGCCAGCGCGGATCCAAGAAATCCGCGCGGAGCGCCAAAAGTTTTTCTGCTTATGCCGTTTCTCTTCTTCGGTCAGAGCCCGCACGGACACGGGACGGCTCCAGGCGGGCGGGCGGGCGGAACTGGAGGCGGGGCAGAGGAGGAGAGGCCCTGGCGAGGAGCGCGCGCGGGCCGGCAGAGCGGAGAGCCGCTGGTGCGCGGGTCGGCCCCACCACTAGGGAGAACGAACAATGGCATAAACACAAAAACTCGGAGGTCCGCGCGGATTTCTCGGATCGGCACTGGGGCCCCTGGCGGCGCCTCCGGCGCTGCCCCAGGCGCGCTCCGCGCGCCAGGGAGGGGAGCCCAGCGCGGATCCAAGAAATCCGCGCAGACCTCCGAGTCTTGCTGTTTATGCCAGCGCTCGTTCCCCTAATTAACCACGGGGGAGCGGGGGGGGAGGGGGACGCTCGCCGCGGGGAAGGCGGCAGGCGGCGGGCGCTACCGCAGCAGCTCGTTCGCGGCCAGCTCCTCGTCGCGGCCGAAGGCCACGAACGCTTCCAGGGCGGCGGCGTGGGTGAAGCCCAGCTCCGCGATCCGCTGGACCGCCTCCGCCTCGGAGGGCGTCAGGGGGTCGGCGGCCGCCGGGCCGCCCGCCCGCGAGCCGCCCCCGTCCGACGGCGGCTCGAGGGGCGCGGCCTCGGCCGAGCCGCTCGGGCCCACGGCCCCGAGGGCCTCCAGCGCCGCCACCAGCTCCACCTCCCGCCTCTTCGCGGCCGCGGCCGCCTCGAAGTCCTCCTCGAGCATCGCCGCCCGCTTCCTCTGGCGGGCCGCCTCCAGGATTCTCTACGGACCCGGGTCGACCCAGGCCCGGGCCTGGCAGGCCCTGCAGGGTCCGGCAGACTCCCGCAGGAGCCCGCAGGAGCCTGCAGGAGCCTGCGCCCCAGCCTGGGCCAGTGCAGCCCCGGCCCTGCAGAAGCCTGCAAGATCTGGCGCTCTGGCTGACCCCGTGTGCATGGACCCCCGTCCCTCTTGAGCCGGCTACACGTAAGAGTGACCCTGGGTAAGAGTGACCTTTGGTGCGCGGCTTTTGGGGGGCCGCGGGGGGACCAAACACAGGCGCGCAGGGCGTTACTATCGCATCGCATTCGGAGATCGGGGAACCCCAGTGTGCCCGCACCAAGGGTCATTCCGGCGAAAGGTCACTCTTACGTCTAGTCGATCATTGAGCCCCGACCGAAGCGTGGTGCACCCAAAACCGGCGGCGCGGCACGCTGTGCACAGACCTGCCTGCCCGCACCGTGGCCCCAGAGCCCCGCCGCCGCCCTCAGCGCGGTGCAGCGGCTTCCGGGCCATGCAAGTCGGACCGAGGACGGAAGAGCACGAGGCTCTGGGCAGCCGATCCCCGACGGGCACGCGCTGCCAGTTGCCGCGCTGACTGACGGCAGCCGTGCGAACCCCGATGCACGCTTGCCCCGAGGAACGGGGAACACAGGTATTGTATCGTGCCGCCGCGATGAGTCGTTGGAAGCCCTCCCTAATCCGCCGACCCTGTCGGCGTGTGGGGGGTCTGTCCGGTCCCGTCGACGGGCAGCCTTCTTTCGTCCCCTCCTCCTTCCCATCCTCCTCTCCCGTCGAGGGAGAGAGAGAGAGAGGGCACCCTTCCTCGTTCGGGGAAAGGGCTTGCAGCTTGAGGGAATTCCATCCATGTCCTCATCACGTCAAAGGGAAGCCCCTTCCCTTTGTCCCTTCCCCAGCAGGGGGGGGTCCCAGGGGGGGGTCAGATTCGGTTCCTCCTCCTCCTCCTCCTCCTCCTCCTCCTCCTCCAACTCCTCCTCCTCCCCCTCTCTGTGTCTGCACCTGTTCCGCCTCATCTGTGTCGTCTTCCCCCTCCTCCCGAGGCGCCTTCCCCATCATCTTCTTCGCCGAGGTCAACGCCGTCGTCTGCACGGTCGGCGGCACCGGCCGTAAGGCCTTCCCTATTCAATAGGGGGGAGAACTCAGTTGTTCGGCGGCCTTACAGTAGGGGCCCGACCACAAGAAACCTTCCAGAAGAAACCAGACCCTGAGACCCCAGGACGTCCATGGATTCTTGGCGTGGGAACGTCCCACGCTGTCCACGGCAACGCCACGGAGACCCAAAAAGCCCAGGGCGCCCTGGAGGCGAGCAGGGTGCTCCTCGGCATGGGCCCCCGCTGTGGTGAAGAGCTGGGGCCCCGCCAGCAGGGGACAACTGACGCCCGCCTCTTGCCCCCCCGACGCCTCCAGCTCCCGCTCGAGCCGGCCCACCTCCGGGGGCGGGCCGCCGACGACCGGGCGGGCGGGCGCCGCGGCGCCCGCCGCGGGCGCTGCGGCCGACACCACGCCGCCCTGGGGCAGCGCTCAAGAGGGGGGGGGGGGGGGGAACGGATTTTGGACGGAAAATGAAAAACACCCAAAGAATAGATACTCCAAAGTGGCCAAGAATGAGTCGAGAGATCGTCCCCAGACTAATATTGTGGACCATTTTGGAACAGTCCTCCTGTAGAGGGACACGCCCGACTCAAGGCGAGGGCTGCAGAATTCAATGGCGGAGGGGTTCAGCGCGGGGCAGGGAGGGGCAGCGAGGGGCGGCGAGGGCCGTCGCGATTCATGGGGGGGGGGGGGACGACTCGGCGCCGCTTTAGTGGGTGGGAGGTACGTGCACTTTGTTTTTTCTAATTCTTTCCACCAGCCTGCGGGCCGAGCAATCGAGGAGCGGCGACTGTACTGCGGCAGCCTTCATGCTGAACGATGCGTGTATATAAAATAAATCCCTCTACGGGGGAGCTTAATGCCTGTGGCCAATGATATTACTGAGCGCTCCGTGGGCAAGGACTCAACATAGGCGCGGTCCACACTGTGTTCTTACCTGGGTCACCTCGCTAACGAGTGAAAGCTTACTGCTTGCGTGGTCATCCTGCACAGTCATAAGCATGTGTAGCAACATCATTGACACAACATCCAATGCTCACGCTCGCTCGGCGAAACCCTCATCAGCTCGCTTCGCACTACTGGCCGTCTGATACTTGAGGAATGTCCTATCGAACACGATGTCGCACTGGTACACCTCCCGAAACATAGATCTTTTAGTAAGCGGCGAAAGTACGCGTGCTCGGGGCAATCTTCGAAGCGAAAGCTACAACAGTAGCTTAGACACGTGACGAGCTCCAGAGGGGAAGTGCTTACACAGCACTTCGATCGGCGTGGACACTCTTTCCCCACTAGCTTTTCGTACTTCTCCTTTCTACCATTGGCTTTTACCGCTGCCACGGAATCTTGCGGCCCAGCCGGAACTTGCCTCCGACGCGGAGCTCCACTCTGCCCCGCCCCAGCAGCCTGCCCCCCCCCCCCCGACGGAAGCCAGCGGCCCCAGGGGGGGCAGAAAGGTGCACTTTGGGGGCAGGGCCCCCTTACACATATATATATATATATATATATATATATATATATACATATAGGGAGAGAGAGAGAGAGAGAGAGAGAAAGAGAGAGAAAAAAAAGAGAGAGAGAGAGAGAACCAACAAAAAAGAAAGAGAGAGAGAGAGAGGTCTCCTAGATGGGGTCCGAGCAGATGGGGTCGAAGAATCGCCCTGCATCGCCAATGCATCGCCGATGCATCGCAGATGCACTGGCGATGCATCGGCGATGCATCGGCGATGCACCGGCGACGTCGGCGATGCATCGGCGACGTCGGCGTGGGGAAACACAGGCTCCACATCGAGCCGCATCGTCGATGCATCGGCGATGCGGCGCGATCCTCCGACCGCATCTACTCCGACCACATCCAGCATGCCTAGACCATTGGGGCCCTAAATGATCAGCCTGGAACATATCCCTATCCCTTAGCTGGGCATCGCCCCATCACGATGCCACTCTGAGGGATTCCTTCTTAGTTTTTGATGGCACATCCCTCAGACTGTCATCGCCTTTTGGCGTGCCAATCTTAGGGATAGGGGTAAGTTCGAGGCTGGTGACTAAAAGGCCCCTCTTCTGCAACCCTCGCCGCCTCCCCCCCGTGCGCATCGCCCGCTCACTAACCGCGACGCCCCACGCCCGCCTGGCGCGCGATCGCCGGGGCGGCAGGGGCGCCCTGGAGGCGCCCCAGGTGCCTCTGCAGCTGCTCCACGCTGGCGGCCTGCAGGCCGAGCGGGGCGCTCTCGCCCGTCCGGGCGCACGCCTCCTGGATCCTCGCCAGCAGCGAGCTCCTCGGCGCCAGCGCCCCCGGATTGGGCGTGGAGTAGGGGAAGGGACGAAAGGCGCCCTGGTCGGGCCCTGAAGGCCCCCTTCTGGCCCCCAAGGGGCCCCTCTGGGGGCCCTCAAGGGCCCCTAACAATGATTTTCTCGTCGTCGCTTCGTGTTCGGTGCTCCTCGCTCGGCCTCCGTTCCGCCTCTGCTGCAAAACGGTATATCGAAACGAAAACGGCCCACGACCTCCTCCTCAGCTAGGGGAGCGAAGAGTGACATTAACAATGAAAGCTGGGAGGTCCGCGTGGACTTCTCGGATCCAAGCTGGACCCCCCTCCCTGGCGCGCGGAGCGCGCCAGAGGCGGCGCCGAAGGCGCTGCCACGGGTCTCCAGCGCCGGTCCGAGAAATCCGCGCGGACCTCCGAGTTTGCATGTTTATGTCATTCTTATTTCCCCTGAGAACGGCCAACGAGATTGCCAAAACACCCTGCTCCTCAGCGCCAGCTCCCCCGACTTCTTCTCCGACGCGCTGGGCACGGCGCCCGCCTGCCGGCGCTCGGCCGCGGCGAGCGCGGCCACCCTCGCGCCGCCCGCGGGGGCGGCGGCGCCGCCGCCCAAGGCGCGGCCCTGCCCGGCGAAGAGCTCCTCCGCTGGCAAAGGCGCGGTGGCGGCGGCGGCGTCCGCAGCCAGCTCAGCCGCGGTGGGGTCGCCGCGGCCCGGGCTGGCCGCCTGCTCACGCGGCTCCGCGGGGCTGTCCGCGACCCGCCGCCAGAGCTCGGCGCTGGCGTGGTTGACCTGCCAGGATCAGGTGTGATAATTAGCCTGGCGAAGGAGCCGACCAGGTGCAGCTGCGAGTACCGAGCAGGATATGAGACGAAGGAAAAAAGGACACAAACTACGAGTTGCGCAAGACATGGCCCCTCTTCTCATGGGCACCGCGCCACTGCATGGACGAGACACAGGGCAGCGCGGGCAGGAGGTGGCTGGCGGAGGAAGGCTCAGTGGGGCGAGCCACCACATCAGCATCAGCGCATCTTGAGACCTGTTACTGCACACGCAGGAAACGGTTACGGAAAGACCGCGTAGATGTCAGAGGCAGGTCAGCAGCGGCAGAAACGAGTCTGGTCTGGGGGGCGCGCGATCAGTCTGGCCTTTGGTGGAGCTCCCTATGGGGCCACAAAACGAGTGAGGGGGGGGCCGAAATGGGTGTGGGGGAGGCATGCGGGCGCAACCACTGGGGCCGTCGGTGAGGGGGGGTGCCGAAACGGGTGGGTGGGGAGGCATGCGGGCGCAGCCACTGGGGCCTTCGGTGGAGCTCTTATGGGGCCATGTGAGGGAATGGATGCGGGCGCAGCCACTGGGGCCGGTGGAGCTCCTATGGGGCCACGAAACGTGTGAGGGGTGTGCCAGAATGGATGGAACCGCGTGCGGGCGCAGCCACTGGGGCCTTCGGTGGAGCTCCCTATGGGGCCACGAAACGTGTGAGGGGTGTGCCGAAGGGGGGGGGGAGGCATGCGGGCGCAGCCACTGGGGCCTTCGGTGGAGCTCCCTATGGAGCCACGAAGCGTGTGAGGGGTGTGCCGAAATGGATGTGGGGGAGGCATGCGGGCGCAGCCACTGGGGCCTTCGGTGGAGCTCGTTATGGGGCCATGAAACGTGTGAGGGGTGTGCCGAAGTGGGTGTGGGGGGGAGGCATGCGGGCGCAGCCACTGGGGCCTTCGGTGAAGCTCCCTATGGAGCCACGAAGCGTGTGAGGGGTGTGCCGAAATGGATGTGGGGGAGGCATGCGGGCGCAGCCACTGGGGCCTTCGGTGGAGCTCCCCATGAGGCCACGAAACGTGTGAGGGGTGTGCCGAAATGGATGTGGGAGAGGCATGCGGGCGCAGCCACTGGGGCCTTCGGTGGAGCTCCCCATGGGGCCACGAAACGTGTGAGGGGTGTGCCGAAACGGGGCCACGAAACGTGTGAGGGGTGTGCCGAAGCTGATGACGATGATGGTGATGATGACGCCGATGATGGTGAAGATGATGGTGGTGATGACGACGATGATGTGATGACTACGACGATGAGGATGAGGATGGTGATCATTATGATGATCATGCTCATGAGCATGATGATGATGACGATGATGATGATGACGATGATGATGATGATGACGAAAATGATGTGATGACTACGACGATGAGGATGATGATGATGATGGTGATGATGATGATGATGCTGATGACGATTATGATTATGATTATGAGTATGAGTATGAGTATGAGTATGAGTATGAGTATGATGATGAGTATGATGATGATGATGATGATGATGATGATGATGATGATGATGATGATGATGATGATGATGATGATGATGATGATGATGATGATGATGATGATGATGATGGGAGGAGGGAGTGGAGGGGAGAGGGCGAGGAGGACGGAAGGAACGCGGGGACCGTCTCTTCAAAACGAGGACCCAACACCACAGGATGCTTCGGAAAAAACTTGAGCCGACTTGTTTTATTCACACTTGAGCCGAACCGCTTTCTTATCACACTTGAGCTTTTGTATCGCACGGAGGTGTGCACCAACACCACCAGGCATCCACGGGCCCGTTCTGGGCCCAGGTCCTCCCGCTCCCCGGCGCCCAGCCAGGCCAGGTCCTACGCGCCAAGATCTGGCCCACAGCAAGACTGTGGATACCTGGCGGTGGTGGCTACCCCTCCCTGTGCCCTGAGATCCGACGTCGCGGAAAAATTAAGACATCGTAGAACCAATCGCGACCGGAGCTCCAGACCCCATCTATCTGCGGTATGCCTCGAGCCGTATCGATCTGTGACGGTCCCGGGGCCCGAAGCCAGGCGAAAACGCCTGGAGTGAAAGACACGGAGACATGCAGTGCCCAGATCTCGGGGACTGCCCTGTGGACCACGCTGACCCAGCCCTCCAGCTGGCCCCGCGAGCCCAAGGCCTCCGTGGTGACGATCCGGATGCGCTTACCCTGGCCGACCTCCAGCACGCGGGCGCGGCAGCCTTGCTTCAGGCGCACGACCTCGGGGCTACTCAGCGGCTCGCCCTGGCGCATGACGACGGGGC